GGATAGCTTTTCTATGAGGCGAACGAAAAAATCACTTTTGTCCATTCATAACAAATTTCGCAACTTACTGGATTTTGTAACATTTGTGACAGCATCTCATAGAATGTCAGTGGTACCGTGTGAATGTTATAAGCAGCAACGAAAGTAATTTAGAGAATCTCTCCAATATGACCGTCTTCCAACATCACATCGACGGCTTCACCCCTAAAACTATCAGAAAACTACTCAAGGTATGGGCACTCTGGGTTTTTTTGAAATAGTTTTGTAGACGTACAGAAAAATCTTATTTATATTTATAGGAGTCTATCGCTACGATTGAAGAGATTTCCACTAAGACGTCATTTCTTGATGTACCACTATTAATATTTAAAAGAGTTATAAAGGTAAATATTATCAAGGGAAGAGTATTAGCTCACAATATCGAAATGTTACCTATTTATCATCTTCAGGAGCCCTCAATAAACTGAAGAATTTCGAACGTATGCCAATCGGCGTGATCAAAGCAATTGTTCTTTTCTTTAAGCGTTTTGACAACTTCTTGCACAGAAAACGCTTCCACAATCAGGAAGATGTAGAAAATTCCTTTCATAAGTTCATCGAATCACGAGGCCTCGATTTATTTGTTACATTAATAAGCGAGCTTATCCATCTTCGACAAGAATTTGATGATTGTAATAGTTTCTATTTTGACTAGTGAAGTTTTATTTCGGCCTAGTTGGAATCACTTAAAAATTAGCGGTCGCAAACCGCTATTACATTTGCATCAACTTGGTAATACTAGGTTGAGGAAAAAGTTTCTTAACACCCACGAAAATTCTCAGTTTTTTGCTTGTTTCACACAGTATCGGTTATTCTAAATTTTTTGGAAATCCTAGGAATGTTTCGATAGCCCATTAATGATCATGAGAGCCATTTTGATGCTTATCACGCAACGTCAAACGTTACTCAGTCACTATAAGTAACTGCGTGGCTTCTTGTATAAAAACAGCAGATAGTCAGCCACGCATGCTCATACATGCAAAGCCGCCTGTCTGACTCCTATGCAAGTGAAGGCACGACGCCTCCTGCCTATCAACGCTGGTCCTCAAAGGGACAAGAAACTCCACATAATCACGATCGCGATCAGAGCAAATGTTGGGTTTCAAAAGGTCAAGCTCCCGCATCAGTCGCACGTCAAAATCCATATGGAAAAAGTTCATGATCTGCGTTTGATGGAATTCTAAAGGTGTCCTACACCTATAACTTTTCCGATTGGTCGTGCCATGAATGTCAAACCCTACTGCGAGCACCTCAACAGAGTCTACGATACGATGAAGGAAACCGCCCGAATTGATTCGCCGTAAGCGCGCGCTGTTTTAGCAAGACAATGCCAGACCTCACACCGCAAAGGAAACAAAAGAAAAGTTTGACGAATTGGAGGGTCAAGGTCTTGTCTTGTAGCACTCAGTCTACAGCCCAGATGCTGCGCCGTATTATGGTCCCATTTTGCTCAATGTAACATTTCCTGCGGGGACGCCGATTCGAGACATTTGATCAAGTTAAAGAGACATGTCAGAAGTCTTTTGTTCAAAGTCCAAGGAATAGTATTCCGAGTAGTTCTAGAAGCTTGCAGATCACTGACAGAAAATCGTGGATAATTATGGTCTTCATTTTGAAAAGTGATTATTGTTGCAATATTGAACTTATGCATGCATTTTCAATTTTCAAGGAATGTAAGGAACATTTCCTCAACCTAATAATAGTAGAATGAATTCTCCAAATGAATTTTTCCAAACTCTGTACTTGGAACCTGAGAGTATACACTTATTATTCCGTTGTAATTAGCAGTGTGCCTGTGTAGAGAAATGCGATTACATGGAGAGTTTTGAAATGTGTGAAGAAATCTTTACCACATTACACAATTTAGCTTGATGTAGAGGTACTGCCGTGGTATTTAATACCTTCATTTCGTAGGACAAGAAGTGACCACTTCAATATCAAAAACAACTTTATGGTTTCTTCCATTTCGCCTTTTCCTGATTTCCGGTGGATAACCTAGGCAGAAAATACTAGTAGTTTTGTTACTAAAAGTCCGTATTTGCCATTCTATGGCACTCGTCTGCTTTGATTTTTCTCAAAATACTCCAGGTTTTACACATGCGAAATATGATTGAAAGTGTGATGACCGAAATACGCCTACTAAAGTTAGTATGAGAATTTCCAAAGAATAGGTCATAAAAGGGGGAAATGTTGGTGCGAAAGCCAATAGTTGGGTGGTGGAAGGTTAGAAAGTGTACTTTGCTGTGTTGCACAAACCCTTTCATGAAATGACGGATTAAATGAATTCCTTGCAAAACTATGAGGCATACAACGCCGTAAATCGAGCCATCTGTTCACTCTTGTCACATATCATAGCGTTGACTCGTACATGACTTTAGTGGAACACCATAGAATCTATGACCTTCTTTGCAACATGCCAAAGTTTCTCAATGATTTTGGCATACTGGGGGGACTCAAGGATTGTCACAATTTTTTGGATCTTTTCTGGAATCCTGCCGCACTTTTGGTAATGTTCTATTGTAGCGACGCCATTTAAGACCTTCGGGAAAAAGCGTATTCTTTGTTGTTATCTGACGAATGTATGATTACATGATAGCATAAATCGAGTGAATTATAAAGGCATACTTTATTTTTCATATTGCTTGCTTTAAGGCCGTTCCAGTCAAAATGAGATGTTGTTTCACATTTTAAGATTTCTCGTCTATAAAAGTATTTTTTAACAAAATTTTAACCTTCAGGTAGAGCAAATCTTTCTGATTAATGAAAAGGTGTTTGCTCTTTGGTCCTACAGCTGTACACACACCCTAACCAACTAGAAGTGCTCACTAAGGATGGAACTCAATATGTCCTGGGCCGTTACAAAGCTCGAAGAAGTCCCTTACGAAAGCCAAATATACCATTATAATTGGGACGATTTTCTCTATCTAACAATTAGAAGCTCATTACAAAAAATTTTTTATCCAGTGAGAAATTCTCGAATGAGGGACAAACTCTTATATTGTCTGGTACGGTGCCAAAAGTAAGCTATTTGAGAAATTATACATGCCATTGAAATTCACTTGATTGGAGCTACCGATAAACTACACAAACGTTTTGCAAAAACAACAAATACCTTTTTACCGAAGGTCTCAGTTGGCGGCGCATTTTTTGAACATCCTTCTATAAATCCTACCTCATTTTTGAACATCATATTTTATTATAAAAATCAAATAGTGCTGTAGTCAATTATCTTTATTCTTACGATCTGAAAGTATAAGTCAACATCAGCATCAATTAGGCCTAAGCCTAGGCCTAAGCTTAAGCCCAAATGCGGCAGAATTCTGAAAAGATCCCATTTTCTTCTTCAGATTATCGTAAAGAAGTAGGGCATCCTTATTAGTGATTTTTCTGTTTCACGCTGTGCACTCGTGGAGTTCATTCGCTAACGGCTTTTGCCATGGTTGTAGTGCGAGGACGTCTGTGCCCTATGGCCGTCAACAAAGCAGGAAAGCGGTTTAGTTCTTTGACGTGCGTAATGCTAAATATTCCTGACCTCTTCCTTCTGAGAGTATGTTTGATTGAAATCAGTGCCTTTCTATTGTGTCCACATGGTCTCCAAGTTTCAGATACCCTGCTGTGGCAATAAGAGTCACGAAGTCGAAACTATGGGTGGCGACTTAGTTACTCGTTATGCAAGACATTCATGATGCTCTTCATAGCCCGCTAAGCCGTTTTTTTTTTTGTTTTTTTGTTTTTGTTGTTAAATCTAACTTAAGTCTGGCTCGACGAAAACTTTTCCAATAACGATTGCACTGATTCTGCAGCACTGAAAAATTTATTGTTAAGCCATCTATTATCTTTAGTTGGTCGATCACCAAACGATAGGAAAGATGCAATGCAATTGAAATTGCTAAGGGATTTTCAATAATCCTTGGCTGTTTCGTCATGAGTATGATTACACTCAATCTTTTCACTACAAATCATCATCTGTGAACAGTTGGTCGTATTTTTATATCATATAGTGAGATCCATTTATCTCCATGTGCTCAGATGGTTCGGTTAATTTACGACTTTCGAAAGTTACGAGGATCTTCCTTCTCTTTTCGTGAATTACATTTTCCTACTATTATTCGCAGAAAGTATTTCCGTGATGTCATCGGATTTTGACGTGTTGCAGTATCTGCGGGCTTACCTGCGGACTGGAGAAGACAAGTTCGTTCTCATCTTATCTAAAATTGTCAACGTGGATCATGCCTTACAGGAAATCTCGTGATAAGATTAATGCCAGGCATACCGGTTTTCCATTAACTCTATCACCCAGAATTAGGCTTAAATGCTTACCATTAGCAGTGAGGTTGGCAAGGACTGGTGAGCTGTTCAACAACTTATGAGGAATTCTAAAAACTTCTCCATCTAACTGCGATCTTCTATTTGTGCGTCGGTATCGAAATAGTTTTGTCTGAAGCAAATGTAAAAAAAATTATGTAGCATTGGGTATTTGAATACATAGAGTTCTCGAAATGTTATTTATGGTGATTGAACCAAAAAATTGTTCGCTCTTCAAAGTCTCAAATTCAGCGAATGGCACTGTTTGTGGGAGAGAATAGTTAATAAGTAAAGTAATAAAACATCCTCACTTCAAAGGATTTTCAATAACTCGTGGTAGAATTGAGTTGTTCATTCAGGTGATTGAGTCGACCACTCTGAACAGCGTAAAAAAAAGAAGCACCAACACACAACTCCATAGCTTTATGACAACAGGCTTATCAGATAAAGATAAGCTAAACGACTAATGTTCTTGTACAAAAAAATCGCGTTCAACATAGCATTATAGATCAATGAAACTCGATAATTTAAAATGAAAACATTAGCTTCAAAGCGAGCCCATTCGTGGGCTGCTTATTCCGGGATGGACTTTTTTCACTGAAATAGACGCATTTTCTATGAAGCGCAAGTGATTTATAATTCGGTTGCAAAACAATTACCCGCAAGCAGGATTCAATCCTGCGATTTTGAGCTGGGGGCCCCTGCTCTGACCGACTGAGCTATGGCGGCTGATCTTTCTACGCCAACATGTCAGTGTCCCATCTATGACTAGTTTCACATATCCAACCTTTTGGGTACGACATAGTCATGGAGCTAGCCCCACTCCCCGGTGCCTGTTTAGCAACGCATTGTGCCGAGTCCATAGTGATACTGACCAAAGAGAAGGAAGTTGCTGATTCGATCACTATTCGTGATACTTCACAATAACAGCTTTTTGTTTTCCGTTCAATATGCAAAATATCACCAACACGTCATATCTCATGTCATAACGCCGTAATGCAAGCGATTTATTTATTCGAACCATTTATTCAACAATCTATTTTGCGTCAAAAAGTAGTGAATTGTTGATAACTGAACGTTTACTTGCTATAAAAATTACGTATACAGAAGAACTATTGATACTAATCAACACTACAAAGTCTGCTATAAATCGTCGTCATAGGTGATCGAAGCAGGAACTTTTTCCGTTATGGTCGGGAACACTCGGCACTTAGAATAATGGAGTGCTCGTCATGCGTGCAGCGGGCATGGCTAGCGTCGTGACCCTGTCGGACTTAGAGAGCTAGAACGATCTTTTGGTAGGTAATCCTATCATTCGACCTGCCACTAAATCAAACTACGAAAAAAGCAAGGTCGCTGATTAGAATGCAACAGCTTAAAGTGAGAAATAATTCATATGAAGAGTAACCACTTTGGAAAAGCGCCATATGTTCATTGACTGGATGCAAAGCAATCAACATCCAGCGGCGCTTCGACCTGCGACACTGGACTTATTGGACCCACACTCTAACGAGTGAGTTATAGCCGCTGCTACTTCTAGGTACACATGTACATGTGCCACCTTGACAAGTTTTAATTGTTTGAAGCTATTTGCTAGATATTTCATCCTTCGACACAGCGAAATAAGAACGACAAAAGAGTGAAATTATCAATTGGAATGCAACAGTAATAAAACGAACCGATGGTTCTCATGAATATGACCACCTTGGCAAATTGTGACTACTTCCATCACATTATAAGCAAAATACCTGCCGCCAGCAGGGGTCGAACCTGCGACCTTGGGCTTATTAGACCCACGCTCTGAGCGACTGAGCTATGGCGGCCGCTAACTATTGTTCCACAAATGAATCTGTCAGCTATGAGCAGTGTCCAGTGTTTTTGGCCGATCATTTGTAAAATAGCCTCATCATACGACCACGAAGAACAAAGGATAAAGCTCTTTGCGTTAAGCAGTCCCTGGGAAATGCGACATACATTCGTCCTCATCTAGCATGGTCTGAGGTGTAAGCTTATCTGGCCTTTACAAGAACTCGTGGTGGCCTACCGATGTATCAAGTCATAGCTGCTATCCTATCAAACAAGTCTTATACGAATTCACCGACTTTGGAGAGATGGAAGGCGTGGTGAGCCCTACGTGTAGTTTCGGAATCGACTTTCGACTGGGTGACCACTTGGACGTCGCAGTGCACCTCTTACCACTGCGCCACTCGCCTTCTCTATGAAGATTAAAACTATATGAACGGTTTTGTTTTAAGAGTCAAGAAAGAAGTATGAACGAGTATCCATGAAGATAGACTTCTAGAGAGGGTGATGCGTTTACCAAGTCGCACGGTAAAACAGTTTGCCGCCAGCAGGGGTCGAACCTGCGACCTTGGGCTTATTAGACCCACGCTCTGAGCGACTGAGCTATGGCGGCTGGCGATTTATAAGCAGCATCTGCATCTCATCTATAACCAGTTTCAAATCTTTATAGCCGACTACTCGCTAGAGGTTTCTTTCATCCTATCAAAACTAAGATAACAAAACGGATGGTCTACGTAATAACTGCTATAACCGTAAAATAACAAGCAAGCGCTGCTAATATGGGTGAAACACGTGTTCAGCTACCACCTAAGGTCAATCTTACTGTGTGCTATTCACTCTTCTTTGATGTAATTTTCATAACCGTGTCACCGCTGGATAGCAGTATCGAGTATATCTTAGTTATACATATAAAAAGCTGCTGTGATTTGTTTCGTCTGCTAATTCATGTTGATTATATTCACACTTGGCCTATCTTCACAATCCGCCCGATATCGACACCATAGTGCACATGAACAACTGAATCCTGGCTCAGATGCGCCAATCACTTGATCCCTCCTTTAAACTCCAAATTCTAAATCTGAATTGTTTTTTGCTTCTTTTCTCTCTGCAGACTAAGTAATAGAGCGATTGTTACAAAAAGCTCAGTAAACCCCTACACTTCTGGATTTCTTTGGAAATTTGGACTGATTTCGGTGTACATAGATATCGCGACCAGTCGTACGTGCTGGAAATTATATTACATCTTTCAGATAACGCTTCTCAGAAGCCCTCCCCACAAACTATCGAATTTCAATGAGCATTAATATAAGAGAACTGCTTGCGCACTTTGCTAGCAGTTGCATACACTTTCTCACACATGCAGAGAGACATCCTTGTATTTTACACACCTGTTCGCTTGGGAAATCGTATTGGTTACAAAGGACCCAACGTCTTCCTTGTATGTGGACATCTGCATTCGCACTAACGTTGGTTGAAACCAAGTCACATCTATCAAAAGTTTTACCTTTTTTTTAAAAGGATATGTAGTCCAAATAGTGTCCCTACGGCCATCTCCTTGCTCCTTATATTTCCACGCGTTACATTATTATTATTGCACTGCTATATTTACGGTCTACGGACCTCCCTCTTTGAGGGATCCCGCCCGGTTAGTCGCGAGGGCACGTGGCGCGTCCCCAGGTGGTGGATAGGGGAATAAAACGCGAACCAAAAGCGACCGTGTGCTTCCCAGAGACGCAGGTGGATTCAGGGGACGAGCTCCCTGCTTCTGCAGCGCCGACTTGACAAAAACTCTATTTCTACGAGTCATGTCGGCCAAAAGCCTGCAATCAAGCGGCTGGGAAGTACATGGGAGGCGGTTAGGAGTCGCCTCCAACAAATAAGCTCCTCCCGCTCCTCCGAGAGAGACTGGCAAGCTACTCGTGAGTACCCAGCCCCCACGTTTAGAGCCTGGCAAGCTACACGTTGGGTATCAAAATGCCAAAAACAGTAACAAATATGGGCCTCATTCCCCTGACCCCGAAAGAGCCCCTGGTACGGCAGCGCCAGGTAGGACGAGTACGGAGAGGCTGCTAAAATCTCAGGGCCGAACTAGGCTGCCAAGATCGAAACGGACTAAAATGACGATCTGTACCTACAACGCAAGAACCCTTGCTCATCAATCCGCTGTAGAAGATCTATTGATTCAAGCAAGAAGAATAAGGTACGACGTCATTGGCCTGGCTGAGACGAGAAGGCGCCATCCTTTTCACGCTGTCTATGACACCGGAGAAGAACTGTTCCTTGGAACATGCGATCGCAGAGGTGTCGGTGGCGTTGGCGTCCTCGTCAAATCGAATTTGACCGTGAACATTGATTCGTTCGAACAACTAACAACCCGTATCGGACGATTACGGTTGAAACGAGGTGGTTCTATGCCGGCTTTGACCATCTTCGTTGCTTACGCACCAACATCAAGCTATGACGAAGACGAAGTCGAAGCGTTCTATATGGACCTCGAAAAATTCTTCAGATAAGATCATACATTCTTCAAGGTCATTGTCGGAGATTTTAACGCAAAAATTGGACCTAGAAGAACGTCTGAAGAACGTCACATAGGGACCACGGACTAGAATGGAATGAACAGGGTGAGAGGCTATCCGAGTTTATCATGACGACCCAAACCATCCATGGTAACTCGCAATTCCAAAAGCCTCTTTCTCAGCGATGGACGTGGGAGTCTCCCAATGGAGAGTACCATAACGAAATAGATCACATCATAGTAAATCGAAGGTTTTGCCTGACCGACGTCGCTGTTGTTCCCAAGTTCTACACGGGATCAGACCATCGCCTCCTTCGCGCAACGTTCCGATTTTCGAGGAGAGGAGAGAAAGCCGCTAAATTCAAGCAACGAAGTCCCAGAACTACCATAAACTGGGATGTATTCAAATCATTAGTCGGCTCTTGGGAAGATACCGTTGTCGACAACATCGACGAAGAATACGATCGACTCGTTGAATATCTTCACGTTGGCGCTAAAAAAGCCGAGAGTCCTAAGGTCACGAAGAGACGCTTGTCTCCGCAGACACTCGAGCTGATACGTCAACGTGGAATCGCACGAGCTGCAGGCAACCGAAACCTTACGTCCGAACTTGCGAAACGATGCAGAGAAGCGATAAAAGAAGACCTTAAAGAGAGAAGAGCAGCAGTTATGGCAGAAGCTGCAGAAGCTGGGAAGAGCATTCGCAAAGCCCAGCGAGGCTTCGCCAACTATAAGACCAAGATGATTGCACTCCGATACCCTGACGGGACACTTACAGCTTCCAGAAGGGCTATGGAGAAAATCATCCACCAATACTACTCGGATCTCTTCGCTAGCCATGTTCTCTTACCGTCATATAAATTGAAAGAGGACGAATATGTCGTTCCACCGGTCCTTCCTTCCGAAATCCGACATGCTATATCGTCGGTGAAAAACAGAACAACACCCGGTCCAGACAGGATTAGACCAGAACACCTGAAGAACCTGCCGCCAGTTCTCATCAACACCCTGGCTCGGCTCTTCACTCGCTACCTGTCAGAATGCAAGGTCCCTATTCAATGGAAAACCAGCAAGACCGTATTGTTGTTCAAAAAGGGAGACCTTCACGACATAGGCAATTATCGCCCAATCTGCTTGCTGTCCGTTGTCTATAAACTCTTTACTCGAGTCATCCTGAACAGGATTGACAGAACACTGGACGAAGGACAGCCATGCGAACAAGCAGGGTTCCGAAAAGGATTTAGTACCATAGACCACATCCCACACGATCACAAGACTCATTGAAGTTTCGCGAGAGTACAAACAACCACTCTGTCTCACTTTCATCGATCTGAAGAAAGCCTTTGATTCAGTGGAAACAGAAGCGGTTATAGAGGCTCTGGATAACCAGGGCGTCCCTACTCGGTAC